AAAAAACGTTTCAGAAAGAAATTAACCATCAGGTGTGGGTGGGCAATTCACTCCAAGACTATGGAAGCCAGTTCTTTCCTGTGGAATATTCATTAACTCCTTTAATTAAAAAGTATTCATAGTGGCATAATTTAGGAGTGCTTTTCATGTACTTGAAAAGATTCTTGACTGTTTGTGAGTCACTTGTAATTTTTTTTTAAAGCAAGTATTTTCTGTTGATACCAATTAAGAAGCAAATTTACGTCTCTAATTTCCCCCCAAATTAGACAAGAAACATTTAGAACAAACAATACTACCTCTGGAAAATGTGCACGTATTATGGAGTATTTCATTCATTCATGAATTCACTCACTCATTCAACTAGTCAGTTAGTTTGGATACATTGAGTGCTTACTGTAACTACCAGACTAAGAAATGTAGGCACAGTGGACAGCAAGTGACACTAGGGTTCCTTGTGCCTCAGTAGACTCACAATCAAAGATAATCTGACCAGCTGAACTAATAATTTGAAGACTTTGAGGGTCTGGGAAAAATAGAGATAGTTCTAAGAAAGCACAGGAGACCTGGTATGGTAGACGCAAAGTCCCCTTTTCCCCAAAGACTTCCACCTCCTAATCCTCAACATCTAAAAATAGGTAACTTTACAGAGCAATAGGAACTTCACAGATTTTATTAAATAAAGGTGTTGGATGAGGTGATTACCCTAGGTCTTCAGGTGAACCCAATGTAATCACAAAAAGGGGGGAGGATCAAAGTCAAGAGATGTGGTGATACAGGAAGGTACCACCCAGCTGGCTTGAAAATACAGGCTGGGCTTTTATTCATTCTCTCAGGTATAGTGTACCTAGGAATGCAGAGGGCCTCTAGAGTTTGAAAAAGGCAAGTAAACTGATTACATTCTAGAGCTTCAGAAAGGAGTACTGCCTTGCCAAAACCTTGATTTCATGTCTGTGTGGCTCATTTCAGACCTTATCACCTAGAACTGTCAATAAATGTGTGGTGTTTTAAATGACTAAGTTCGTGACAATTTATTACAGCAGCGATAAAAATTTATATACCTGGACTGCTGATTGTAGGGACAGAGAGTACTTGTTTAGAGTTTTAGGGTCCATCATGGCCAAAGCCATGTCTCTTTTCTTCATCCTTTCATATGCAGCATGTTATTGTACCCAGGACTTAGAAGATGTCCAATAAATCAAAAGAAAATGGCAAGTACTCAAGAAAAAAGAAAGAGTGGGCTGATAGTTGGAGGATGCCTGCAAGTGAAGTAGGTAAGTAGGCAGTGGAGGCCAACTGGAAAATCACAAGTCAGCTAGGGAGACCTCAACAGGGGGCCGCTTAGTATTAGCACAAGGCCACTCAAGTGCTTTCAGGACCCAGACTGCTGAATGTGGTGAAAGATTTCAGTTGAATAGCTTTTCTCATCATTCAGAGAAATAGCATGGTCTACTTTATAATTTATGTAGCTTTTCTTCAGATCTCTTGCTTATTCTAGCTGGCACTCAACTATGAATCTTCCCCTTCTGAAAGATTGTTGGGAACAGGGCTATTTTTTGTTCTCTTTCCTCTTGCCTACTGCCTTACTTGGTGTATGTCTCCCTTTTTGTGGTAACTGTCAAGTCAACTGTGTAGTCCCCAAGCCCCCTGATGTCTCTGGGGTGGTCTCACATGATGAATTTATCTCACAGCCTGCACACTAAGTTCATCTTCCCTTCCCCGCAGGCTCCCTCTCATTTCCCATTTCGGGAGTGCGAAAGCTTCAGAGTCAACCTGTGTCTTATAGCACAAAAAAACAGTCTGAAAGTCACACAAATTCAATTTTAACACAACTAAGGATAGAATAAAAACCATACACGTGAACATGTAAAAGTAATGGAAGCAAGAGTTATAAGTTTCAGTGGTTAAGTTGAGAGATGAAATATAATACGTCACCTTATTGTCTAAAGTACAGAGAAGTGAGAGCAGGACAGTGAGACAGAATGAGAGAGAGAAAGCAAGGAGGGTCTGGCATGTCGGAAGAGGGAAGAGGAGGAAGCAGGAGAAATATTCTGAATAACTTCTGGCCACTGTAGAAGAGTCGTCGGAGACAAAGGGTTTCGTGGAGATACAAAAAGGTGATTGCCCATCAGCTACGGTTCTGCGCAAAGTGGGGCTGGCACCAGGAGGCAAGGGGAGAACTCCTCCTACAAGTTTTCAATCTAGCAAGAGACTGTGCCATCAGAAAGTTACGATTTGAGGGGCTGGGGATTTAGCTCAGCTGCAAAAGCACCTGCCTGGCAAGTGCAAGGTCGCGAGTTCGGTTCCCGGTACCGGAGAAAAACCAAAAAAAAGAGAAAGTTACGATTCGAAAGCACTGTCAGTGTTACACAAGAGTTCTCTGAGAACCCAGGCAGGAAAAGTAAATGTGCAACAAGAAGTGAAAAGGCCAAAGAAGACACTATCTGAGCTGTGTCCATGTTGGTATGGGCTGAAGTAGTTAATTCATGTGTTTCTATTCTGGTCTATAGTATTTATCTAGAGTATATTATGTACTGTAATCCAATGGATATTATGATATATCTTTAATCAGCTCATGTAACTATTCTACCTGTTATTTATGTTACTGGATATGTTGCTGTTTTCTAGTGCTATAGAATATCATAACCTATGCTGTTATGAAAAATTTTGTATTGGTTTTCCTCATTGGTAGGTTTCCCTGGTAATGACACCAGGGTATGGAATAATCTTTTGGGGAAAACTTTGGACTAATGATTTAATTTCTTTAATTGTTATGGGAAAATCTTTTTTGTTGTTTTTGAATCACTTTTGTAAAATCATATATCATTTAGAATTTTTCAATATCATCCAAATTTTCTTTTGGTATCAAGATATCTATAATACTATCACCTTTTATACACCCATAGAATCTACAGTTATATTTCTTTTTTGTTCTTAACATTGTCCCTTATCATTTTTTATTTTTGTTTAATGTTATTAATTTTATTATTCTTTTCAAAAAACCAAAATGAGATGTTGTTGATTATTTAAACTTTATCTTTTTACTATTTTCTAATTTCTATTCTTCATTATTTCTTCCCTTTTATTTTCATTGGTTCCATTTTGAACCCTTAAATTCTTGATATAAATCATTAAATCATTGATTTTTAGACTTTTTTTCCTAATATGTGCAGGTTAGTACACAAATTTCCTGAAGTAGTACTTTATTATACCCCACAAATTTTGATAAGCATTTCTCTTGTAATTTAATTACCTTTTCCCCTCTAATCCTCATGATGACTTCTTTAAACAACAGATTATTGCAAAAACTATTTAGTAGTTTAGAAATATATACTTTTGGTTATCTTTTTTGCTGTAAATTTCTTTCCAGTAAAGATTTACAGCTTAATCTCATGTTGGCCAGAAAACCTGCAGGTGTAATTTCCACTATTTGAAATATGTTAAAATTGCATTATAGTCTCAGTTTATGATCATCAGACAAACAGCGGGAGTTAGAAGTCTTTCCCAACTACCTGAGGTAAAATAGAACAGCATAAACTTGCCATCCGGCCAGATCCTTAGCCAAAGACAAGAATGCTGATCAGAGCACTCAGAATAATTTGCCTTTGCCAGACCCTTAGCAAGACACCAGGTGTCACGCTCGCATTCGACGTAATAGACTTTTTAAAAATGTCCTCTTTGTTCTTTTTCTCTCTCACATAGCAGTGGCTATGTACTGTATAACTCCCTGTAAAACTGATTACTAGGTATTTGTCCCTCTGGTTGAAGATAATGGTTTGTATTTCATTAATTCTACCTCCTTTTTCCTTCCCTTGCTTGTTCTTTCTTTCCATTTATTTATTAATCGACCATCTATTGGCTTTCTGTCTCTAGTGATACAGCCATAATAAAAACAAATACCAAATTCTTTGGGAAATAATGGTAAATAAAAGTACAGCATCAATAGAAGAAAAGGTTGAAAAATGAGACAATAATCAAGTCAGTATTTTTAAAGATATATTCATAATAGACTACCCTTTATTTTAAAAAGTCAAGAACTTAATAAAAATCATCTATGTTTCACCTTGAGTTTTCAGCACTGACTTACTTCTTCAAGTGTGACCTAGTAACAGAAACATACACTGTCCATTTCCTTCTTGATCAGTTGTGTCGTATCTTTAGTTCTGCTAAGAATAATATTTTCAACTACTTTTTAAAAATACCTAATGAATTTTTGAACTAAATTATTGAACTAAAAGATTTCCAAAGTTTGAAATGATAAGTAAAATGAATTTCTCAATTTTCAATAAAAATAATTTTAATTTATATATAGATAGAAGGAATTAGTCAAATATACAATATAAAGTAAATTAAGAAAAGTTTGTTTATCAATTTATAATTTAAAAATCCATGATGAATAATTTAATCATTTCTGATATTTGTGTGATAGTTAAAATAAAATTAAATGCTAAACATGCGAGTTTTTTTAACTCAACTCTTTTATCATTTAGTTAAATGATATCATAATGCTTTTCATTCAGGCTTCACAGTAGCATGTCACTTTCATTTGTGTCTTTTATTTTCTCTATATTGAGACAAAATCTCATGACCTCCTGAGTTTGCAATACAAAAATAAACTTCAACCAATAAACATTAACACCACAACCAAAACATTTGTTGCTATTACCTGACTTACTTTTTTCAGATAAGTATCAACATCCAATTGCCTTACATTGCTGGCTTGTTGGGTGAAAATCCAAAATATGTTCAAAGAAAAGAGATCTTGAAGAAAATTTTTGTCCATATTAAGCTCTGATACAATGAATTTCAATCCGCAGTTCGAACATTTCAAGTAAAAAGGAAGAAAGATGAAGAAAATAACAAGGGACAGAGAGGAAGTGAGAAGGAAGAAGAAGAGGTAGAAGGAAGGAAAAGAAGAGATGGAAAAGATAGCAGAGAAGAGGGAGGAAAGCGAGAGTAAAAGAAAAGAAAAGAGGTTCATTTTTTCCTTCACACTAACTCACCATTGTAGCTACCATTGGAATGAGAATTGAGTAACGTGTTTTGTTCACACTGAAATGAAAAGAAATGGAAAGAAAAATTTTATAAAAACATTTTACAAAAACTGAGAAAACATATTCCTTTCTCCATAATGAGTAACAAAAATTAATCTCCATTAAATAACTTCACTAGCTTTGTTTTCAGAATACTGCATGCAATAAACTTTGAGATAAGATAATGAGTGCTAAGTATACCTTAGTTCAGTAAATAATTTATGTTATCAAGTCAGACTATCTTCCTTAGAACGTTTTATGCAAGACTGTTTTGATTTTGGGTGAGAAATTGCAATATGTGCATGTATTTGCAACGTAACATGCCTAATCAACTATCAACCTCATTAACACAGCATTCTGAAAGGCAGGGCCACCGATCACATCTTTCATGTTACACAAAAGTTAGCTTCATAAAAGTGCCTGAGGCACATTTTTGATTGGTGGAGACACTGGAGAGTGACAATGAAAATGCCTAACTTCTTTGACAATCTCTGACATCCTAAAAAGATCACATGCTATCTACTTCTCAAATAATGAATTACACTACTGTCATTTTTATTAGTGACAACGGTGATGAAAGCAGTTGACTTTTTCTCAGTACTTATTCTATACAAGGACTTGATATTAATCATCGAATAGAGCGATCCTACGAAGTTACCAATCTCATTTTCCATATAAGAGAGTCAAAAATTAGAAAAGTTATATAACTTGATCAGAACTGGCAAAGCAAATTATGGGGCTGGCAAAAGCCTGGATCACAACCAAAGCCAATGCCCTTTCAGCTCCACCTTTGTGGTCCCAACCCCTGCCTTATACTGCTAATCTCAGGACAGAGTTTTCATCTTTCAGGCAGACTAGAGAACCTGTTTCCTCTTCTTGATGCCCAGTGGCCCAGTTTATAAATCTTAGGTGTTACTGAGAGTTATCAGCTATACCAAAGTATTTTAATTTCTAGTTCTCCACCTTCCTTTTATCCAACATTCAGGTAATGCCACTTACACCGTGTGGCTGGTGATGACTAATTTGGCCTAACAAAAGAGTCTGGTCCCTGAGAACCATCCAATAACACTGAGTTTCCATTCCCTCTTAAAGATACCTTTTCTGAAATCCCCTGTACAGAAAACTTTCAAGAAGTTTCTTCGGATACCCTGCTTTCAAGGAAAAGGATCACTTCTACCATGAGACAAGAAGTAGATATACCAGACAGTCTTACAAGAGTAATAGAAGATACCCAATAATGAATCCATGCAACTCCAGAACATCTCACTAACCTTTCTTCCTGATGGTTTATCCCTCATTATTCAGAAAGAAGGCCTTCCAGATTCCCATCTGAATCCTTGCTATATTCTTTAATATTCATGGTATGTAAATACACACATTTGCATTATTCTCATTTAGTAGAACTGAATGAATTTAACACATCCTTTCCAGCCATCATAGAGTTCTTAGTTAAAGAATCCCTTTGAGTGCCATTACCTATCGACAGCCTGGATTCAATGAATTCGATTTGACTATTAGACTCACATTTCTGATTTCCTAAGTGGTAAGATCAGATATGAGATAGCGCCTCACTGAAGGGTTCATTAACGAGGTTAAGTTCTGACTTGGCAAATGACAAAATAATCACAAATGCTAATTTTCAATTTCTGAAAACAAGTTGGGACAAGCAATCTTACAGAAAAATACTCTAAGGAAAACTCCATCAACTCTCATTATATGATTACTTACAAGAATCTTCATTTTAAGTACGTGGTTATTTTGATAAAGCCCATAAAGCAGTGTGTAATATTAAGAAGAAAATCTACATTTAAAAAAATAAGACAACAAACTTCTTATGGGTTAATTATGTTATATGAAGCTCTGGACAAATGTTTTCCCAACACTCAGGCGTGGTGGTTGTGAGTTTATCTCTACCCACAGAAGCCTCCCTGAATCATAATACAGAGGCACACTGTGGTGTAACAAGGCACGGGAAAAGAAAAGCGCCTGGTATCCAAATTAGACATCTGGAAACGTATCTCCCCATTTGGCAAGAGAGCATATTCCCAACCCAAAATGACCGGTGTTGATTTCAAATGTTCTCTTGAAAGTGAAATCCTGAAGAGCACAGTGAGGGGTTAAGTCAGGTCTGATGACATTTAGGGAGGGCTGGCTTCCTGGGCTTGCAGTCTGTGCAGTCCCACAGGGACCCACACTGGGACGGCTCTCCCACTTGGTTTATTCTCTGCTGTCACCATCTTGAAAAACTGAAAAACTGTGGACTAAAAAAGTTCACATTTACATTTTGTACTGGGCCCCTGCAAATTACACGTGTCATCCTGAATATGGAGCCTCTGTAGTGTGGATCAGGATGAGGCAAAAGGATGAAGCTGTGACAGACAGCTCCTGAGATGCCAGAAACAGGAGAGCCGAGATAATCTACGTTCCTGAGTGACTGAGAGACGCAGAAAAAGTAGAGATCTTTGTGATCTGGAATAGCCATGCACAGTTTCATGAGAAGAGTAGTCAGCCAAACTAATAATATAAGCTAAGATTGTATAATATTATACTTTATATTAGTAGGCCACATTATAAGTGCTTTTCATTTATTAAATCATTTAATCATCTTGATTAAAGATGAAGAAATTGAAGCACAAAATTTGGTGACTCCATTGAGGTTCATACCTGATAAGTAGCAAACCCAAGCAGTCTGACTCTTAACCATTATGGATGATGTAGGGATTCAAATAATGATATGTGGCTTATTTACAGTAAATCATAGTGGTACTCATTCAATTCAATATCTGATCATTGATTTTACTCGTGGAAATAAAGCTGACTTTTATAATGTTACAGTGATGGCAACAATTTATACTTCTCTGAAGTCATTTGTCTTGTTCTATCTCTTTAGGAGTTAGGTATAATGTATTTTTTTTATTTAGCTGGTTGTGAAGTAGGTGCTTAGAACTAAGTAATTTTTTTATTTGTTCTCAGGGATACAATACCTGGTATACATATTCATTAGGCATTATGGAATGAGTGAATAAATAAGAAAGTGACTACCTAAAAATTAAGTACATGAACTAAATGAAAGTATTATTTACATGAGACTTTTTAAGTGTCATGATGTATAGTTATCTATAGTGACCACTAATTCTAATCATGACACTGTAGATCCTACCTTGCTGATATCATCAAGTGGGTGGTTGGTGGTATTTTCCCTTTGGATTATGTTCTTTAAGTCAGTATGAAATTTCTTCACATTCAGGAAAACAAGTGGGTTGTTTATTGAGAAGATTTTCACCTGATGCATGGTCTCCTTTTAAAGGAAAAAAAGAAAAGATTTAGAACTGTAAATTAAATGAAAGAGAAGAACTGTACCCAATGAGTCTAAGTCTTGAAAGTCCAAATGTCACTCAGATATGGAGATAATCTCATAAGTAACATTTTCATTATTAAAATGTATTTAACAACCTTACTGTACCAACATTCTTCTTGAGGAAATATGTACTTTCTGGAAAGAAACAGGAACCTTGAGAGAAGTCTACAGCTTCTCAGGAAGTGGTTCTTATTCCTGTTGACTGGGTTGGAGAGGCAACATTCTAAAATACCCAAAGAATACCGGGAGGATATATCTTCTCAAAAGCACCTCTTCCATTCAACCTATCAGTTAAAATTAATTCATTTAACCATTTATACTTTAGAAAACAAAAACGTACACTAATGTGTCAAATGTCAGATCATTTCCTCATAATGATGTGAGTTTTCTTCAGCTGAAATACAACTTTACAAGTGACTGAGAGTCCTCATTGGAACAGGAACATAATTTCACTTGGGGCAGGCTTAGGTCACACTGCATCACCACAACGTAGGGGAAAGAGGTAGAAATGAGAAAAAGGTTTTATACAAAAGGTGTCTGCTTTGACAATTTGCATAGATATTACTGGCAGCACTCGGTGATGTGCAAGTAACACCATCTTTTATATGAGGGACATTAATTTGAATAGTTCATTTTACCTCGCAGTTTCTCAATTTTTAAAACTAGATGAACGTTTAACCTAGATAGTCTCAAAAGTTTCTAAGGTCACAAAACTCATTAAACTCCAGCAAATGAGATTATAAAAATAAAACATACAAAACTGTAATCTGCCAAGAGTAAACTGCATAGAAAACAAAAATAAAATATTGTGTTAATTCTTAGGCCTGTCACAAATCACATGTGACTATGCCATTAACTTGTTGTCAGTTAATTTGGAAAATATATGTATCTGTTAAAGAGTAAAGGTTCACATTGTCCCAGGAAGGAAATTTTCAATGAAATTCAATTTATAGAGTGGGAAGGAACAATAAGGAATATTTTGTATAAAGTAGGAGTGGGAAAGTACATGATTAGAAGAAAAGAATAACAGATTACTATATATTAAATTATCTAAAAGTTTCACCCAATAGTTCACCTTGAAATCTTGCTCACTTTTGGTCTTTTCTCTTCTTAGTTTTGGCACAAGTAACTGATGAGGTGCAATATTTTTTCTTTCTTTTTTTTTTTTTGAATTTTATTAGTACATGTTTGCCATACATAATGATTTTCAGAGCAGGGAATTTTACATGTATATAGCATTTAAATTTCTTTCCTTTTTCCTCCTCCAACTCCTTTTATTTTTCCAGCATCAAATTCATTTATTTATTTTATAAGACTTTATAAAGTTAATTGTCATATATACAGGTTGAAAACCCAACTAATAGGTCAAAGAACATATAAAACATGTGAGCCAGTGTACCAAGTCCAGGTATAGTTTTAGATAAATGTCTGCATTGGATTATATCCTTTTTCTTTCTTTCTTTCTCTCCCCCCCCATTATCTACCTTTTATTCATACAGTGGTATCTTGTTTCACAAATTCAGGTTTTTCCATGCAATTCTGTGACCAGAATCATTGAAAGAATTAAGTTTGTGAACCAAGATACCAGTGTACTTTACATATGCATTGAGTTTTTATATGAGCAAACCATGTGATATTTAAGCTTGTGTGTGAGATACTTAATGTTATGGTCTCAAGGTGAATCCATTTTGGGGGAAATGACTCAAGTTTATCCTTCTTTATGTCAGAATAGTACTCCACTGTGTACAAATACCACATTTTTTATCCACTCATCTGTCGATGGACATTCAGGCTATTTTCAAGATTTCATGATTATGAATTTTGCTGGTATAAACGTGAGTATGCATAAATCACTATGGCATGATGACTTGAACTCTTTGGGGAATATACCTAAAAGGGGAGTAGCTGGGTCAAATGGAATTTCTACTTTTAGTTTTTTAGGAATCTCCACACTGATTTTAATAGTAGTTCTATCAGTTTACAACCTTCAACACTGTATAAAGGTTCCTTTTCCCTCACAGCCTCATCAGCATTTGTTATTGGTTGACTTCTTGATGATACCCACTTTTTCTAGAGTGAGATGGACTCTCGAGTGTTATTTTAATTTCATTTCTCAAATGTCCAACAATGTTGAATATTTGTTCATGTATTTATTGGCCATTCATATTTCTTCATCTGAGAAATGTCTATTCACTTCACATGAAAGAATCTTTCTGAGTCTTATTCACTTCACATGAATGAATTTTTCTGAGTCTTTAAATTTTGGGGTTTCATTGTTTTGAGTTCTTCATATATTATAGATATTAGTCCTTTGTCTGAGGAGTAGCTGGAATTTTTTTTGCCATTCTGTAGGTTGTCTCTTCATTCTGTTAGTAGGTTCCTTCACTATGCAGAGCTTTTTAATTTGATAGGCTCCATTTGTTGATTATTGATATTATTTCTTGTGCAACTCAGGTGTTGTTCAGAAAGTCTTTGTTTACACCTATGTCAAGAGTTTTACCTGACTTTCAGCAGAGTAATGTTTCTGTTCTAATGTTAAGATCTTTAATCCATTTTTATTTTAGTTTACTACCTGGTGAGAAATACGGGTCTAAGTTTAACTTTCAGCATGCTGATCGCCAGCTTTCCTAGCACTGTTTGTTAGAGGATATCTATCCTCCAGCAAAGGGATTTGGTCCCTTTGTCAAAAATAACATAGCTAACTGTGCCTGGAGTTGTTTCTTCTATTGTGTTCCATGAACCCATGGGTCTCATTTTTCTTTGCTTCTTTGGGTGTTTTGGGTTGGTTTGGTTTGGTTTTTTGCTAATACCATGCTTTTTTTTTTTTTTTTTTTTTGTATTATTGTAGCTTTTTAGAATAACTTGAATTCTGGGACTGTGATATCCCCTGCCTTGCCCTTGTTGCCCAGAATTGCTCTTGCTATTCTAGGCATCTTCTGGTTTCATATGAATTTTAGGAAGGCTTTCTCTCAGTCTGTAAGAAATGTTATTGGTGTTTTGATTGGGATTGCATTAAATCTATATAAAAGTTTTGGAATTATGGTCATTTCGACTATACTGGTTCTGCCTACCCAGGAACAGGGTATATGAAAGATTCATATATTATAGATATTAGTCCTTTGTCTGAGGAGTAGCTAGAACATTTTTTTCTTCATATAATATAGGAATCTTTCCACATTCTGATATCTTCTTCAAACTCCTTTTTCAGAGTACTATAGTTTTCATTGTAGAGGTCTTTCACTTCCTTGGTTAGGCTAATTCCTAAGTAGTTCATTTATCTTGATCCTATTGTGAAAGATATTGTTTCCCTATTTTCCTTCTGAGTTTGTTATTGGTGTACAGGAACATTATCTACTTTTGAGAGTTGACTTTGTATCCTGCTACACTGTCAAATTTGGATATGAGTTATGAGTGTTTTGGTGGAGTTTTGGGGGTCTTCAATGTAGAGGATCATTTCATCAGCAAATAATTCTAATTTAACTTCTTCCTTGCAGTCCATATTTCTTTTTTTTCTTTCTCTTGCTTTATTGCTCTAGCTAGTGTTTCAAGAACTATATGAAAAAGAACTAGTGAGAGCAGACATCCTTGTCTTGCTCCTGATTTTAGAAAGAAAGGTTTCAACTTCCTCCATCTAGGATAAGATTAGCTATAGATTTGTCATAAATGGCTCTCATCAGGTTGAGATAAAGACCTTCTATTCCTATTTTCTCCAGTGCCTTTATCACAAATGGATGCTGCATTTTGTCCAATGTTTTTTCTGCATCTATTGAGATAAGTGTGTGTTTTTTGTCCTTGCTTCTGTTTTATGTGGTGTATTACATTATTGACTTGTGTGTGTTGAACCAACCCTGCATCCCTGGAATGAATCCTACTTGGACAGGATGCATGATCTTTTTGCTCATTTGCTACATTGTTTGTCAGTGTTTTATTGAGGGTCTTTGTATCTGTGTCCACTAGAGAGATTGGCCCATAGTTCTCTTTTTTGGTTGAGTCTTCTTCTGGTTTGGAATCAGAGTAATGCTCACCTCCATGAATGACTTTAACAAAATTAAGATTTCCATGAGATACAGTTATTACTCATTCGTTTGACAAGACTGGAAGCAAGATTTCAGAGATGGAGAAATTTCTAGCATTTTCATCTTTCCTACAGATTCCCTCACTTATATCCACATGTGTTTAGCCCTTGAGGAAGATAAGGATATTTACAATTAACTAAAGTTGAATTTTGTCTCAAAGCTAAAGACATCAAGCTTAATGCACAGGTACATGAGTGGTGGAGATACATGGAGGAAATAAGGCGGGAGTTTGCACAAGCATCAAAGTCCCATAGAAAATTTCCTTTCCTTTTCTTCTTTTCTTTCTTTTGTTCTTTCCTCCCCATTTTTAATTTCTATATTTTCTATATTTTCCAGTCTGGCCTTTAATCTCAGATCTTCCTGCCTCAGCCTCCCAAGTAGCTGGGTTTGCCGGTATGCACCACTGTGCCTGGCTTGCAAGGATAATTTAAAGAAAGAAAATAAAAGAGTTGGTGGAAAAGTTGAGCATGGAACATCCTCAGAATCTCTGCAGTCAAACAGCTCTCCGAGAAGCAAATCTTCTATGCTTATTAAAACACAAGCTATTTCCCTGGGCCTCAGAGGAACCCCTGATGTTATTTCCTAGTTCCAGTCTACTTGAAAACACCCTCACACTGGTCCTTCTGGTGAGTAGTTATTTCTCTCTATTCTGAGGGGAATTGTGAGATACAAAAGTGAATGTAAGAAATAAAGGAGAAAAGTTTAGCCAAACATATATAAAGTAGGTTCAAAGTGAGGACAATTTTTTAAAAGTGACACAAATAGGTCAATATTTTTCCCTTCATTTTTAACTGTTTTTATTTTCCCTTAAGATAAAAAAATTAGGACGCAAACTCTACAAATTGGCCCTAGTTCGCATGGTAGAGGAAGACAATGTACGTAAGTTGCTTATTTAAAAAGATGTTTACAGGATAAATCTCCAATCATATTGACATTCCAGAAACACTTGACTTAATTAGTCTCTACTAACGATACAATCTTATTCACTAGATATTTTTTAAAGTAATGTTAGTTTATTCTCCTCCCTATTTCTTATTTTTGTATATCACTTAATTCAGAAAAGACTATCAGTTTGGCTGGATAGCTTTACACAACTTAGTAATGGAAAAGAGTTCTAAACATGCTTGAATGAATGTGAGCAATGATTCTACTGTGAACTATCGTTCTTTGAACCATGATCTGATCTGATCTCAATGTCAAATTCAAAGAAATTTTCCTCTGTTCTATTGATTTCTTGTATGTCCACTGTCATTTGTTACAGTCAATATAGACCATTGGAAGCTCATAGTAATTAAAAATAGAAACATTTCCCATAACATAATTTACATTTCCTTTGATATCTTAAAACTAGCACACTGATAAAAATTATTAATCATTATGCGAAGGAAAAAAGTAACTAAACTTACATCATCTGTTTCTGTCTTCACTTTAAATTCCATGTCTTTCATGTTTTTAATACTTAAAGTCTTTGCTCTAAAGTTAAGGAAGATAAAAAACACAGTAAGTCAGTTCCTGATTAGCACATTAACAATGAAGACATAAAGGGACTCAGTCATATTTTTATCTTAATAATTAGAAATGTCTGAGTGGTTTAGAACTCATAACCCATTTGCTCATAAAATATTAGTAACTCTATGTATTCTGGGATACTCAGGAATAAAGGGCAACAAAAGGACAGTCTAACTAGAGATTAATAAGCATAATTTACCTCATTTTGGTTCCTAGAGCCCCAAATCTCCAAGCTGCAAGAGGTGGATTGGTAAAGAATTATAAGAGATAAAAGGCTAGAAAGTAGGTAGTATTTGATAAAATCTTGTTTTAGAAGAAAAGGAAATAAGAAATCAAAGACAAGATGGGACAAGATAATAATGAACCTGCTATATTTAGATAACATTAAAGTAGAATACAGAGATAAACTTGAGCATTTTAAAGAATATATTACTTCACAAATAACTTTAAGAGAAGAATAAGACATGAGTAGAAGCACTACCACATGAACACCGGGAAAGCAGAAAAGGAATAGATCAAAATAGGGCAACGATTTGTAGACATTCAGTAAAAGTACAAAAGGTATGTGTTCCTCAATAAATTATCTAGAATACTACATTTATATATAATATTTTACATATATTATACATTATATCTATATTATACATATAGAAATAATTTTCTGAGAAATAAAACTTTTTGAAGTTTTTTGATTTTTCTAAATTATTAATGTTACTATATTGTTTGTTTTGCATTATACTATATCCCTTCACTTAATTAAAAAAACTCTATGATACAATATGTGGTGAAAGGGTATATTCATTTTAAATATTTATTGTAGTTTAGATATCTCATGTCCACAAAGGCCATTGTGTCAAAGACATTGTTACCAATTGTAAGTGGTGAAACTCCTCAGAGATAGGGTGAAGTTAGGTCACTGAGGGAGTAAATCTGGAGAGGATCCTGGGGACTCCAACTCTTCCACTCTCTCCTTTTTTCCCAGTTACCATAAGGTGAGCATCTTTGCTCCAACGTGATATTCTGCTTAGCCACAAGTCCACAGCAATAAGGCCAGCTGACCACAGACTGAAACCTCTAAAACCACCAGCCGAAATGAACTTTGCTTCTTCTGAAATTCTTTTATTTCAGGCATTTATTACAGTGATAGGAAGCTGACTAACACATATTTTATCTTATAATGTTGATATTTCTTTGCATTAAGACCAATGTTGTTGTGTATAAAACATTTCCTTATCTGTCTTTAATTCTCTGATAGAGCATAAAACATGAGATTGTTGTGCCATAAGTTATACCAAAACAAAAGTAAGTGATAACACCATATATTTTGTCGTTGAGTGAGAATAGAGTATTTTAATAGGGTTTTACCTTGGGAAGCGTCCTATCAGTATAGCTATGGTACAGACAACACCAAACAGTAGTCCCACATTGGCGGCAAAGCATATTGTAAATATATATGTACTGACCCATATACCCTAAAAGAGAAAAGATAAATAGAAGATGTGGAGTATTTGGTATTATCTTTCTCATTGATCACTCAATTCCACACACTCTTATGACCAACACTCCTATGACCAAATCTCTCAGCAAGGATATACCATGTGAGAAGTAGAGAAAACAGAAGTTGGGGAGTACAGCAGCACATCTTGGCTTTATCTGACTGTCAGCAGTACAAGTGGGGAAAAGTTCATTCTTTTATTCCTAGGCACTGTCAACCTTTAATTCAATGCCCAAAAATTACTGTATTTCAAATTTGTAAATAGTTGGCTGATGTGTATGTGGTCAAACACATGCCATTGTTTCCTACTACATTCTCATTTCATGTGAAGTGTCAAAAGCAATTGTTTCCAGATATTTGTCAATCTTAACAATATTGTTTTCTAGCATTGCAAAAAACCCACTGTGGTTTATTATTACACAAGGCTCTCACAGCCTCCTCTTGAAATGACTGAATCAAACAACACTGCCAATGCTACTTTTAGATCAACCACCATGAAGATTATTATAATCTTATTTACAAGGGGCCACTTATTGTGAAACCTAAAATGTCAGAACCAACTTTGTTCCTGGGAACATTTTTTAAAAAACTGGAAGAAACTCTAATTCTCTTCTAGCTGGAATTTCAAAGTTGTACTTTGCTCATCATTTGAAATTATAATTGCAATAAGATACTGTAGTAAGTTGGCATTTCTAAGCTCAGTGCTACAAAAAATGTTAAAAGCAACTAATTTGTGAAATCTAAAACATTGTATTTTTAAATACAAATGCTGAATTTATCAAATAGTAAGTTAACAAAATGCTTCTTTTCTCCTAAATAACTTCCATCAGTTTGTTCTTCATGCAATTCAAAGTTGATTTACATCTGTTCCAGGACTCTCTTATAAGTGTTTAAAAGCATACTTTTAAAGTATCATCACTGAAAAACACCTTCAAAATATAATTTAATTTCATCAGCAAATGAAAGAAAAACTACTCAGTAACCTAAAAATAACATAAAATTGTTGGCAGTTGAGAGCGTAGACTTTTTTCTCCCCAGGCAAGTTTAAAACAACGTTGTTGTTTTGTTTTTTTTTTAAACAGGGTCTTACTATTTAGCCCAGGCTGACCTCAAACTCATGGCAATCCTTCTGCCTCAGCCTCACAAGTGCTAGGATTAGAGGCATGTGCCACCACGCCCAGACTGAAACAAATATTTCTAAAGAATATCTTTAAACCTGAAATGCTTTTCCTTTGCCTGTGTCATTTATATACAGACCAAGCTTGAGTGATTCTTGATAATAGGCTGTCTGGAAAAGCTAAGCCTTGGGAGGCAAATGGAGGGGTTTTAATGTTAAATTCCTTTTGATAATAAAAGACACATACATTCTAGAATAGAAGAGCAAATACATTTTAAATAATTATCATGTTAAGATCTATCCCCTAAAAATATAATGCTAACTTATTATTTGAAATCATCCCCAGCCCATCTTCTCATGGATTAGGACACTGAGATGTTTTTCCTCTAGTCACATGAGGCAGTAGTTGTTTCCATCTTCTGTTTGTGTATGGTGTGTTTGCCTTCCTAATTACTATGATCACATACAAAATCAGAATGCAAGTTTCCGATCATTACTTTAACTTCCTATGAGGACTCTGAGTCTTACTCATCTTCAAATGTTAAATGAACCTGCCTGAGTGTGGCACAACAACGTCTTACCAAGAGTTTTTGAGTCTAACGCCTCCTGGCAACTTTCATAATTCAAAATGACATAGGGGACTAAAGATGTTGGCTCCTGCCACTTAAAAACAAAAAAACACAGAGCCTGGAGGCCAAGATTCAGTAGAGCAAACCAAAAATTTTGGTGCCATCTGGTTCTCTTTTTAAAGCATATTTACTCTCCCATAACATTATTTATTATAAATCTAGCTCTCTAAATGCTTAGTTATTTCCTAAGGCTACGTTTATAGCTTTGAAAAAATATCAAATGCAAATTAATAACACAGGTCAACAAACAGTTTCATTAGAATAAGTCCTACAGTATTTGGTAACAATTTCTGTTAAAGAATGTTGGTTATCACAGTTACCAGGAATTAGCTCTTGTCTCTCTGTGCCTTTCTTCATTATCAAAAAATAATAATTTAGCACTCAAGAGTCCTCAAACACAAAGAAACCCTAAAGTTAACTGTGAGTATAAAACATAAATTCCTGCTTCTTACAGAAAATGCATCAATGTAAAAAGCACAGTTTAGCAGCTATTGGACTACCTCATCTTCCTTGAGCAATCTTTTTGAGGGAGAGAGCCATATGATTATGTTATATAAATCTGTTCAGCTACACAGACTCAGTCATAGGCCTATGAATATAACCTTCATTTACATTTCTATTTCATCATTGCTTTACAGAGGGTTTTTGATCAACATATGAAAGTAGAATCAATACTAAACTATAGGGGCTGGGGATTTAGCTCAGCGGCAAAAGCGCCTGCCTGGCAAGCGCAAGGTCGTGAGTTCGGTTCCTGGTACCGGAGAAAAACCAAAAAAAAAAAAAAAAAAAAAATACTAAACTATAAAAAATTAAAATGCTTCTGATTTTTCATGTGATGACTACTGACACGATATTTCTAACTTTAGAACTTCAAATTATTTTATATATACATGGTCATTCTCATTAATTTTGCTTTCATGATAATATATGCATATTCTATTGAGTAATCTAGATATTATGTTTACTGGATAATGTCAATCCCCCCAGAAGTCTATAAAATTTTTTTACTCCAAATACTACGTGAGGATCATACCCCAATAACCTATGACTTTTCACTATTGAATTACTTGGTAATAAGAGATGTCTATTCACTCCAACTAAGAGGCCATTGTCAGGTTTACCCCGTGTGGCACTGACTCGTCACGTACCTGTCATATCCACGTCCCTTTTCTCTGTCTCACTCTTTGCTCACATCACATTGCCTACTACTCCAGGCTCTCAACTACTAATTCTAAGCAGTAGACTACCAGCTCCAAGATCTAAAAATATTTTTTTCAAATTCTTCATAAAACACCTTCAAACCCAGCAGGTCTAAATGTAAATTCATTAACTTTATCCCAAAATCTACCTTCCTTCCAAAGTTCTCTTCCAGTTACAATGCTAATACTCTTCCATAGACTACAATCAGAAATACTAGAATATTATTCTATTTCTTTGCCTCTTTCATCTACTTGTCCAATAATTTCCCAAATCTCTTGGGCTATTAAACAAAAATGTATGACTCCACATCCTTTTCTCAATTCACTGACCATGCCTTACTTCACATTTTCCTGTCCTTTCTCTAGCCTATTTTGAAAGCTCCCTACTTAACTGTCTGCTTTTGTTATCTGCATTCTGAACTACTTATTGCACTGCTACCACAATTATCTTTCTAAGATTAGACTTGGGCACCAAATTTAGCTAATATAGTAAATGCATTTGTATTCTACTCCTTTATATTGAAATAAAGCAGAAACAATATGAAATGAACCTATAAAGGAGAAAAACAGCTTCAATTTAAAAGAACATGTTCATAACTTTTACCTACAAAGTAAGATACAGGCCATTCAAATACTGAAAAATATGGATAATAACCAAGGAGGAAGCTAGAAACAAATAAATTAATTCTCAGAGTTCTATTAACTACAGATTTCTGCATAAGCATCAGAATCCTGAGAATACTATACAATAGTTTCTTTGATAAGAACATCTAGGGTCAAGAGCTTATACATTCTATGGCTAAGGTTGGGTCACCACAAAAGCAGGAAATGCACCCATAAAGATTTATTTGGTATCACAGAACTGCAGTGCAAGTCAAATGCCATTAGTATCACTTATAACATAGTTTCCTAACCAAAGAAGACTATTAGCGATGAAGTAAGATTAAAACTAAAGAAGAAACAAGTACCATATCATAAGAAAATCAACTACAACAAGAAACACATGTCAAGATGACCTAGCTAAATCAGAACTGTGGACTGATCCAGCTCACTTCCTGTCTCCTACCAACCCACACTGTTTTTCATTATTTTTCATTGCAATTCTCAAGGAATTATCAAGGAATCTATTTATAGAAGGCAAAAAATGAAAAAAAGAAAAACATTAAATAGAGACAAAGAATAGTTTCAGACATGTAATAGACATCTTGGGAAAAAAACCTCAAAAGACATCTGAAAATTTAAAAAAGAAATAAATTATTTAAAATTTTAAATTAAAGAAGACTAAAGGATTTAAAATCAAGAACTTAGGGAATAAATTGAGTAAGAAATTAAAAACACTACAGAGATAAAAGTAATACTTAAAAGTTAAAAAATGTGTTCTTTACAACTAGAAATACAAAATTAGAGGTATAATAAATAATCCAAAGAAATGTATAGAGAAAAAAGACAAAAAGAATTATAACAAAACATATAAAGATGAAAAAAAGACAAAGTAAAATCAACAAATACATGTCATTAGGAATATAGCAGAACAAAACTGAAAAATATGCAAAGATATATTAGAAGAAAAATGTCATAATTCTAGATTCTGAGATGAAAAGGGTATGTGATGCTCAGAAATTTATCAGCCACAGAAACATTCTGACAATAGCACCAAACTTTGTGGGCAGTAGGAATGAATGTTGTTGAGAATTTATAAAACAAACTCTGACTTCTACCTCATCCTTCAAGGACTGAATACCATGCCACGTCCAAAAGAACCTGAGAGAACAGATTTTAGACTCAACCAAAAACTTCCTTCTTGCATAAAAATCAGGTTATTATTCTCTCTCTCTCTTTTTTTTCTTTTTTGGTACTGGGAATCAAACTCACGACCTCATGCTTGCCAGGCTGGCGCTGTGCCACTGAGCTATATCCCTGGCCCCAGGTTATTATTCTCAAAGTGGAATAGCTTAGGGAGTATAAAACACATGGGCACTTCCTTCCTTAAGAACTACATGATGATGACATACAGAAAGCAAGAGATGAAATTAATAACTCAGAAAAGAGAAGCTACTCTTTTCAAAGACGAAAAGTGACCACTGAATGTATTTCAGTAATAAAATTCTATACTTTCTATAACCACATGAATGATATCATCTTCTTCCAATGATGTTCCTGACTAGAAACAGATGTCAGTCTAGACTGATTCGCAGTATGTGATGAGTTGCTGGTAAAGACTAATTCAATTGCCTGAATATTTTTCAAAATTTTTTTTTCCATTGAACTTCATTGTCTTAAAGCTTCTTCCAGGGCCTTCCTCATTTATTTGCCCAAATTGTTGAAGCAGTTTGCCAATTGCTGTATACTTGTTTAGTGTGATCTACCTTCCTAAAATTATTCAAGTGACCTTTTTAAAACATAAATCTTCTTTCAGTGGTACTCCACTGTCTTTAGAATGAAGGCCAATCTTCTTTGTAGAACGTGATTGTTCCTTCTCAATCCAACCCATTCTTAACTTTTCCAACCTCATCTGCCACCACTCCCATCCTCATACTGCATGTTCCATGAATGCTTAACATCTTGAACTTTAGAGCCAGACATCTTTTTTTTTTTTTTTTTTTTTTTTATTTCTTTTTCCAGTATGGAGAACCAAACTCACGACCTTGTGCCTGCCAGGCAGGCACTGTGCCGCTGAGCTAAATCCCCAGCCCTAGAGCCAGACATCTTTATAATCATCTGTATGTCTCTGCATACCAGGTAGAGCTTCCCCAGGAATAGCTACTCATTCTAATCACTTCTTAGAAAAAGACTTCACTTCCATTATCTCTTCTACTCCTAAATGAAAACTTGTGTTCCTTCTAAAAACCTTTGCATCAGGGTTATCAAGTAGCTTGATGAATAAGCTTGCATCGTCTCATTTTTCTCCCTTGAGTTACTTCACACATACCACCTTAGGAAAAGGTCAGGAACCTGCTTCAGCCTGGCTAGGTGTATCATCTTGGTCTACCTATCAAGCACTACTCCTTTAAGTCTCAGTTCATACTTCAATTCTCCTGTGAGTGTCTTTTGTCTTAACCAGTACAAATTAATGTACTTGTCTCTACTTTCCCCTGCACTAAGTTTATATTTTTACTTCCAGGTCGCGTTGTATCATGTTTGCATAATAAATTAGTGTTTCTGAGCCTGCTTCCAGAAAAAAGAATTAGAGTCTGGAAAGGGCAGGGGTTGCCTATTCATCCCGACATTCTTCATGACACTTAGTAATTTACTTTGGTAGGGGATCAGTCATAGTCAGCTTCAGGAGCAGAGCTGTGAAAGAAGGACCAGCAAAAATAATTCCCCAAATTCTCACACAACAGAGGATCTGATGGAGAGGAAATGCACAGATAATTATGTTTCAATATGTTAAATGCCATGAGAGAGCTAAATAAAGGGTACTCATGAAATACTTCACCCATATGGGAGAGGGAGAGTTTGGATGCTTTTGCATAGGCAGATTTTTCTAGGATGTATGTTAAACATTTGTTACTTAAAACCACATTTTGTTGCTGTTCAGTATAATTTAATTTGTCTCCAGCAATATTCTATTAATGATATCCCCTCATTGAAACCCATTTGAAAAACAATTCACAATTTTTTGTATATTTAGAGTGAGTGTGGCAACCAGTAAGATGCCTACCCTATATTTATGTAGCACACATCATTAACGATTAATGCTATTTTTTTCATGCATACTATAAATCATGGTATTTCTGTTAGTGTGAATTTACGGATGAAATTTGCTTCCAGAATCAATTTGTAATGTAAATTGGGTGTTCCCAAGCCACTCAAACTAATTAGAATTTCTTCACAAGTTCTCAGAGTCCATTTCCATCAGAATTTCGCAAAATTCTGTTTCTGATAAAAACGTATTTAATGTTTTTATTAAGATTTTGCAAACAATGAGGGGTAGTTTGTAAAGTAAAGAACTCTCAAATGGCTAAATCTGTTTTCTGCAAATAAAAATATTAAACCTTATGGTAACATGTGCTTAAAGCAAAGAGGAAAAACTCTTGATCAAATTTCTACTTACCCAATCAATTTTATCCACATTCCAATATTTCTTTAAATCTCGGAACTGTATTAGCATTCCCTTGAGTCCCACAACAATAATGCTTGCAAGAACACACTACAAATAAAAAAATAAGTTGAGAAGCAGCAAGATAAAGATTTTATCTGAATTTAAAAGAACCAAGGTATTTTTATTTCTTTGTTTTTAAAATGGATATTGCAGAAAAGTAGTCATCAATTGAAAAACTAAAGTAATATTTGTTTTGTTTAGAACTACCTCATTGTACTTCAAGAATATAATATCAAATTTGGGAAATCACAAGTTAAATTTTGTACAATTCTTAAAAAAAAAGACAGAAATAAAAAAGGAAAAGTAGTAAATTAAAAGGGTGAATACCACAAGGCTAAAGGTCCATTTAACTATAATTATTCACTATCATTTGTGTGTTTACTGCAGAAATGTGTTTGCTGCAGAAAAATACATATTTATATCATAGATTTCTTTATAATTGCCTTGAATATCAATTATCTGGTTTTTACCTAAAGACATTTATAACCCTCTTGAAAAGTTAACTTGATTATTAGAAGATCATTCTGTGAAATGATACATTCCCACAGTACCAATGAACCATTAGAAAACAAATGACCAAGACTGACTCCTTTAGGACCAGGAACTTCACTGGGGTCACTTGGGTGCCTGGAGTGTTTAAAGAGCAAAGCGAACCACTGGCACTAGTGTTCTGAGTCACACACTATGTGAAGGACACATCAAGGGTGGGAGGATGTCTTGTTTCCTATTCCATTGGCCATATTTTCTAACAAAGTTCTGATAAAATTCTTCCAATGTCTACCTGTTCTTTCTTTCTTTCTTTCCTTCTTCCTTCTTGGTACGCCGCTAGGGACGAACCATAAGACCTCATACTGGCACGCTAGGCAAGCCCTTTACAACTGAGCTGCACCCCCAAACCCCAAAATCTACCTTCTATAGTAAAATATTTCTACTCCCTCTCTCCAGATCAGCACAGAATAATCCTAGCTCTCTACCTTACCTTTTCCATATGTGAGATGAAGAATTAGAAGACACTACAGTGTCCTCTCATTTCTCCCTCACCGCATGTGGCATCTTTCCACCCCTCCCCTATTCAACTTCTACTTATATAAGATGGTTTTCAGGTTCAGAATTACTGAATTGACCCTCCCCCAGCACTTTATATGCACTAATCCTGGTTAAAGGTAGTATTAAAAAGTAGATAGTGAAAAAGAATTACAGTACCATGGGCAGCCAGTACAGCAAAGGTCCTATTGCATAGATGACTATAAGGATGAAAATGCAAGATATTAGACAAGCCACCTGCAAAATACAAGACAGACAAAAAAGAAGGCCTTGAAGTTTTTATTATTCCAAAGGTATGGGTGGTGGTGGTGAGGGGGAATTCTTAATTCATGTTGATTAGAAGAAACACAGCGTTGGCACATCATTGCCAAATGGTATAGACTGTCACTATCTATATTTTGCAGCTGTGGGAGGCCGAACATGACAGCTGACAAACCGGTGCAATCAAATTAAGTCAGTGATGAGAAAAAGCAATTCCACACAAAAGAATAGGGCACCATTAACTTTTATCACACACTGCAGCAGTGGCTTTCTGTTGTTGTTGAATAGTGAAAGTAACATCTCAATGAGGTTCTTTAGCTCCTTGGTGTTGAGCCTGACTCCTCTGCGTATTTCAGAGGGTGTTTTGGGGGGAATAACTAAACAGGCAGATTAGAGTTTCCCTGTGTTGATGACAAATTTAAAATGAACCTCTCTCTCTCTTGTTCTTTGTTAGTAAGGTCTTTAGTTTATGAAGTGGTTATGGGAGATTGTAGGCATTGTCTCTCACAATGGCAGACACTTAATTTCATTAACCCTGAAGAGTCATTGCTGTTATGTTCTAATGCACTCAGCCTGCTGAGAAAGGGCAATTCAAAATACCTGACTCGTACAGCTATGCTCCATTTGATGAAGAACCTGATTTCACATAAGCAAATGCTCAAGGCTTTGTGAAAACATTTGGGCAAGCTGTCATCCTAACCAGAGAAGAAAAGACTTCCACAAGACTGAAATACACCTAGACCATAATTATGGAGATGTCAAAAACAGTTTGGACTAGTCAGAATGACTTAAATTAAAAGTAAATCTATGAACAATCAATTTCAGTAGTTGGCAAGGACTCAGAGCAACTGGAGTTCTCAGGCATCGCTGTTGGTAATGAAATAAGGAGAAACCACTTTGAAAACAGTTTGGCAGTTTCTTGTAAAGCTATTCACTCTCTCACTTTAGAGAAGGACATCCTAAGAGGAAATAAAAACATATGCCCATGTGAATATCTTCACATAAATATTTATACCAAAATACATAAATGTTTGAGAAGTCCTCCAATCGTAGCACACCCATATAAGAGAATACTCTAGGTAACAGAACATGGATGAAAATCAAAACCTTTAGACCAGTGAAGGAAGTTAGACCTAAAAGGCTATCAGCTTCTAAAAACAAATAAAAATTATGGGATGCCAAGGACTGGAGGGGTCACAGGGAATTAACTGCAAAGGGGCCTAAAAAATTTTGGGAATAATAGAACTGTTTTTTATCTTGATTATGTTTGTGATTATACAATCATATACCTTTCAAATGAAGTGACCTATAAAACCAAAAAGGATGATTTTACTACATTTCAATATACCTCTATAAATCTTAGCTTTTCAAAAAGCAACTGGATAAGTAGTCTGAGGCAACTTCTTGCATATATGTGTATCTGCCCAGAATCACTTCAGCACCAGCACTGGTCCTGAATCTGGTACTGCTACACAGTACATGTGTGGAGGGAGGCCGGGGAGAGGCAGAGCAGCTATAATTATTCAGTTAACAGGTCATTCAAATAGACATTAGGGGGCCGGGTGTGGTGGTACACGCCTGTAGTCTCAGCACTCAGGAGGCTGAGGCAGGAGAATCGTTGCAAGTTCAAGACCAGCGTGGGCTACAAAGTGAGCTCAAGGCCAGCCTGAACGGCGTAGCAAGACCTTGTCTCAAAAAAGACAAAAAAAAAAAAAGAAAATAGACGTTAGGATAGACCTTGCCATGTTGGCAGAGGTTGAGGGAGTCTCTTCTCTTCTGTATTTAGTAGAACTGATCAACAGCACATCCCAGACGGTGTGAAGGAGAGAACTAATTCTTACATACAAAGTAAATCTTAAGTGTTTAATGATCATCCATAAAAGGGTTATAGTATACCAAACTATTACTATACTAACCATTTTAGAACTTCTTGGTGATTTTACATAGTCAAGAATTGTTTTAAACAGTAAAAGAAGATGCTAACCATTCTTCTAGCTAGAAAGATCTAGGTGTTGGTGTGCAGGTCACAAGACATATTCAGATACCCAGGAAGTGACAGTAAGTCCATTTTTTATACAGAAAGAAAAAGACACTAGCTGCTAAGTTTGTTTCAAGACAAAAGACAATGGCATGCATTCTTTTGGTGGGACTTTTTACTCAAACACTTATAATGTACTTAAAAACAAAACCCTCAGCCTTAGGAGTTACAATAATTAAGCTAGAGCCAAATTCCTTCCAAGGATATGAGCCACGGAAAGGCCATGTGACGTGTTCAATGTCATAGTTAGGGAATTTAAAAAGCACAAAGGCCACATGAAATGCATATTGACCTAGGTCAAAATCCATGAAAGTCACTGCATGTTTTAAACTTTCTTTTAATTGGATTTTTATTCACACCAGCACATCCATAACAACCACCAAAAACTACAAAATGATTTGCAGAAGGTTAAGTTGATTAATTATGAATTTATGTCCTCCTTGTACACTGAGAATTTGTTCTACCTTTTGACAATGAGGTGACGATGGACCTCTGTGTGTTCAGCAAAAAGTGGGGACACTGCACAGCAGAAAACAGACTGAAAGGAGGAAATCACTGTTTGTTTATTCGTTTTGTAGTACTGGGAGTAGAACCCAGGGCCTTGTACACACTAGGCCAATGCTCTACCATTGAGCTACAAGCACACATGAGGAACCGTCAGAGCTGGAGCAAAATTTTTTTCTTCTCTCGCCTTAAAGAATAACACCCTAGTACTAAAACAGAAGGTAAAATCGCAACTTCATTTTAAAAAGCATATTAAAATGTTGATGATAATTCTAATTATATAAATATGTATATATATTGAGTGGATTCCAAAAATATGTTTACTTTGTGTGTTTTGTTTCATTGTATTCATAACTTGTGCTTTCTTATGACTCAAAGTAGGACAAGCATCATCTGACTCTGATTTTAAAGTAATGCCTTTGATTTCCAGCGTTGGTCATGCAGCGTGTGCAAAGGTGCAGCGGCCCACAGATTTATGTGGTGGTATGCAAAGCGAGGCTTTTCTGGTTCTCACAACCAGCTAGAGATTTTTCAATGCTATACTTTTGAGTAAAACTCCAAATGTTTTTAATGCTCTGAGATATATTGCAATGCACTGAAGCTGTCATAGAAATTAATAACTCTATGCAAAAACAGCATAACTACACTTATGCTTTTGTCTAAGTACTCTTTATTTTCCTTTATGCAGAAGACAAGCAAAATCTAAGCATCTTCTTAAGTTCCAATTAGCCTTTGCTTGTAATTAGTACAAATGAGTTCACACCCTTAATTATCCATAAACTAGCCACTTTCCAGCTATTTTACTCTTTTTCCATATCATACTAACTAAATATCCAAAGATATCTTTTTGTTTTAAAATTATACCTAGCCATGTTTGAGTTAACTCTGCATTACAGTTAACGAAGTAATGTGTGTTTTCTTCTTGTTTTATTTTCAAATACTATGTATGGTGCACATTCCCTTACAAAAACGAGCGTGCAGGCATTAGAGTTCTCCCTAGCTACATATATACTCAGTTGGAGGAAGAGTCAGATCTATTCAGTTCCTTCCTAAGTAGTTTTCAAATTGTAGATCAGAGCTCACTAAATGAACAGCTTTGTGGAAGGCAGTGGAATGGTAAAAGAGGCAGGAAACGAGAGACAGAGACAGAGAGACAGAGAGAAAGAGAGAAAGAGAAGGATATTGAGCAACTAAAACAAGATTTTAAAAGCTTAAAGAAGATGCAAGCAGGGAGCCAAATTTTGAAAGAATGAAGAAATACAGTTTGGCAAATTAGAAACCAGAGGCAATCCCAGCGTTGCAGAAAAACACGCCAGCTGTTGTTTTCAGTTGCGGCTGCGACACCTCCGCAGCAGATGCCTTCTCACCTCCCTTGTGGTTCCGCGAGGCCTCCTGAGGTCCCTGAAGAGCACTGGTGTACCTCCTCCGTCAAAAGTGAAGAGAAGCACGGAGAGGAGAGCCAGGGCTGCGGAGAGCCCTCCACAGCTAGCAAACCTCACGGGGAAGGAGGGAAGGGAGCCATGAGGCTTTCACTTATGCTACTCCTGTAGGCGGCTCCAGAGCTTTCTTGCTTGGCCTGTCTTTGGATTTCACATCGAAAGGGAACCCTGCACAAAGGGCTTCTACATGTGGGGGACAGAGATGTGGCTGTGTATTTGACCACAGTACTTGGCATTACATGATCAGTGTCTTTTGTTATTCCTCTAATAAGTTTTAATTTTTCTGATGCACTAAAAGGCATTACCTTGGACTCACTAGTATAAAATGTCTCTAAATTCACTGTCTGTGTCTCCTGAGCACCTGAAAGGGGCCAGTCCATATTAATTTAAGCTGCAAATGGAAAATACATACCAGGTTTCTAAGCCTTGAGACAGAAGAATGTAGGAATATTGTAAATAATTTTTAGATTTCATTTCAAAATTATAATGTTTTACTCTATTGGGTGAACTAGAGTTTATGCAACATGTGAGGACTTTATTGCAGATCAGTTTTGCCAAGGGCAAAAAGACTATTGGCCCCAAGCAAGGGGTGAGAGCATGTTTCACAAGGGAGTTCAGGTAGGGGAGGGGGCACTGCCGAGGAGGGTACAAAATTTTGGGTCTCTGAGTAGGAGGTCTAGGGCTAGGTGATAGACAAGGGGGTGTTGGGTACAGGGGTTGCCGGCAGACACAGCATGTCTCTCTCTTTTTTTTTTTTTTTTTTTGGTTTTTTCAGGTACCGGGAATTGAACTCACAACCTCATGCTTGCCAGGCGAGCACTGTGCTGCTGAGCTAAATCCCCAGCCTCAATCTCTTATGGTTCTTGTGGAATCAGCTCTCCACAGGTTGAGCTGTGTAGGAGAGCTGCAAGCTGGTTGAGCTACAGGGGAGAGCTGCCAGAAGCTACTGGCTTCCTATTGAATGCAGAGCTCCAGAAGGTGTGGATAACAGATCTGCTTGGGGAGTTTTTCTCTCCTAGCTGGGCATGGGTTTAGTTTCGTGATCTGACATAAACTAGTACAACCTCTACAGAAATCAGTGTGAAGATTTGCCAAAAAATCAAAAACAGAAATACCATTTCATCCAGCTATGTCACTCTTCAGTATACTCCCCAAATACATATAGCACACTATAGTCACACGTTCATACCTGTGTTTATTATGTCACAGTTTGTAATAGCTAAGCTGCAGAAATGACCTGGATGTCTGTCAACAGACAACTAAAGAAAACATGGCATATATACACGAAGGAATATTACTGAGATATAAAGAAGAAAGGACATAGAATATTACTGAGTTGTGAAGAAGAAAGTTGTGCCATTTTCAGGAATACAGATGGAACTGGAAATCACCTTGTTAAGTGAAATCAGCCAGACTCAGAAAGTTAAATATCACATGCTTTCTCTTACATGAATAATCCAAAAAAAAAAAAAATGGGGAGAAAAAAGGAAAGCAGAGGTGGAAGATTGTTAAGAAGGAAGATGATGAGGGAGAGGGAGAAGGAGGTAATGGGGCCAAAATAATAAAAATGTTTTATGTTTGTGTCAGTTTACCAAAATGAACTTTATTATTCTGAATTTCTAACATGCACTAAGAAAATAATGAATTCTAAAGGCAAAGAAGTTTACGCCAATGCACATGATGAACCTATACCTGAAATCGCTAACTAAAAAACAATCTGTCAGGTTACTTGGTGCCATGTACACAAATTTCTGTATGGGTGTCACTCCTTAGCTGATTATTTGTCAGATGATAATACATTCAAATTGGTTGCTGCTTCCCTTCTATTTCATGGTGCATTTACACGTTTATGTCCCACTTCAGTATCAATTTACATATATTTCTCTTTCTCCTAGGGTCACAAACTATATACCTTTCAGATTTATTCTGGAATAAGCTTTAAAAAAAGCAGTTAATACAGAATATATCCCTAACATACGTCTGAATTAGCACACAAAGTGTCTCAGAAACTCTCATTCCTATTTTATCCTATTTTAAACAAGAAATGTTTTAATAATGAGTAACTATTATTGTTAATTTCTTATGACAAGATACTCATGAATTTTCTTGGAGTTGGGTTGGAGTAAATTTATCTGGATTCAAATTCCAGTTCTACCACTTAGTATCTCTGACACCTGGGTAACCTACTTCAACCTTCTTCCCTTCAATTTCCTTATGCAGAAACCGAGAATGACAGATCCATGACGTGGTTTAGATTGGAATCCCCCCTAGTTCCTCATGTGTTCAGAGGTGGGGTCTGGGAAGGGGACTGCATTATAGGGGTGCTATAGGTGACTTCCTGCTAGGAAGTAGGAGCTGATGTGAGGAAGGGGGTCACTGAGGGAATGACCCAAACAGCCATATTTTTCTCTTCATCTCTTCACGCCATGGCGTGAGTAGCTTTCCTCCACCCAGGCCATTTCTGCCTTGGAGCTGGCAGACCAGGGACTGAAACCACGCACTAAAATAGAGGTCTCCTCCTTTAAGTTGTGGGTGTCCCGTTTTGTGTCCCAGTGATGCAAAATTGGCTTCGATGTTATACTTCTTTCAAAGCATTTTCTAAAGCATTAAAGGATTTCATTTCTACAAAAATTATGACAAAAATGCCTGACACACAACTCAATATTGTTTCCACTACCACTGCCACTGCCATCAACGGAAACACCCCCACTGTCATCACCGTCCTATCAGCCATGTTCAGTACAATGCCTCGAGTAGGGCAGGAGTTCAGTATCAAACTAATTTGGGTTCCTAAGAAAATGTAAGAAATGGTTCCTTACCCTAAAATGTTCACAGACATCGGTGCCACATTTACGCACTTGTAGATCTCTATGAGCAGAAATTTCAGGAACAAGGATTGGCTTTGCATATAAATGATTTCATTTTATTGCAAGGAAGCGAATAAAACTCCTTGACTGTTTAATGAATGGAAAAAATCAGAGGCACCACTAGAGGGAGCTTTAGTTTCAAAAGTTGCTAACAATAAAACTGCCATTTGTGTAGAATTAGCTTTGTTCATTGAAGCAGTCACTCACAATCACCCAGTCTCTGGAAGGGCCATTGTGGGAAAGGAGAAATAGGGAGAGCCAAGGAGAGAGAGAGACAAAGAAAAAGAAACAGAGAGAGACATTTCTGTAAACTACTTAGAAAACTGTAAAGAAATGGAAATATTTTCAGGGCTTTACAGAGAACTGCATTCTTTCTACTCTCCAAGAATGGGGGTGGAGGCTCTGCTCTCTGTCTGTCCCTGCTAAGCAGGCATTACCTGGGTCTTTGCTCCTGTGCTGTACAGACCAGCTGTCCTTCCCATGGCAGCCGCACTTGGGATACAGAAGAAAAATGAAGGGATCACATTGCTGAGGCCATGGGCCAAAAATTCCTGCAAGGAGATAATGGGAGAATACATCACTTCTTAATCACAGTGGGCTCAGGTTCCACAAGTACAGCTTGTGAAAGAATGAAGCTTGTTGGTATTCAATTTCTGTTCTCCTCACCAGTTGAGATTTAACAATTAAAAGGAAAATAGTCAACATTCATTGAGTGCTTATAATAAGCCAGAAACACGATACTTCTCCCATACTCAGCACTCTTATAAGTAAACACCGAATATTTATGCTGTCAGTGTCCAACTTCTCGTCCATCTTTTAAGTCACTACAATTGAGCTTTTATTCCCACCACTCTACTAATGACTCCAGCACGCAACATCCAATGCCTAATACTTATCTTACCTGATCTAAATGAGTCATTTGACACAGTTGCTAATTATTTCCTCCATAAAGGCTCTTTCACTTAGCTTGTAGGATCTCATGCTCTTCTGGTGTCCCCCTACCTTGCTGGCCACCCCTTCTCAATTTCCTTTGTGGTTCTTCCTTATCTAACCAATTTCAAATATTGGACCATGTCTCTTCTCTATCTACACTGTAGCTACCCAACTCTGTATTGAAAACTCCCAAGTTTACATCTGCAGCTTAGACCACTCCTCTGAACTTGAGAATCATACAGCCACATAGATGCTACTATTTAGTATTGTGACGATAACTAACAGGTTTTTCAGCCTTATTAACCCGAGCTATGGATCTCCACCACCCCACGGTGGCGCTCTCGAGTTCCTGCTCATCTCAAGTTTCAATGACTTAGGTCCAGAGTGTTCGGCTTATTCTTGACTCCTATCCTCCCTTTGCCCGGATGGCATCCACATCCAGTTGAGAATCTACTCACTTCTTATGTCCTCATCACTACACTCTGGTCTAAGGCATCACATCTTACCTTAACTATTAAAAAGTTTCCTAACAGATTGCCTGCTTCTGTTGTCAGCAAGCACAAACAAATATCCCTGCTCTCACTCATCCGTGGTTCTGCTGTAGGACTGCAGACAATAAACACAATCAATATGCAAAGTAAAGCAGAGGCGAGCAGGAGAAACAGTGAATTTAGAACTTCAGATTACCAAAGGCATCCCTGAAAAAGAAACATTTGAATAAAGGAGATAAGCATATATCTGGGAGAACAGAGTTCCTGGAAAAGGGAAGAAGTGTAAATGCTCTGAGCTAGAATTGAACTTGTGAATTCAGGAGATAACTATGGTACATACTCCCAGAACAGCGTACAAAGGGAAATAAAGCCAGAGTGCAAATGAGACAGTGGCTGGACATGTGGAGTTTTAAGCCATGATAATAATATTTTTATCTGACTATAATAGGAAGCCACTGAGAAGTTTCAAGCGGAAGAAAGATATGGTTTGTGCTGTTTACCAGTGTACCCTTGTACCTGGGCCAATGCCTGGCACATGGTATGGCTCGGTGTAACACATGGAATGAATAAATCTAGTTTTTACAGATGAGAAAATGGGCACAGAGGGCATCAAGGTCAGCTGGTATCAGAGTGAGATCTGCACACAGGTAGTTACACATTCATAACTATCATACTACAGCTTCTCTTCAGAGCTCTGCAGCTCAGGGGGCCATAAGGCTTGAAGCAAGATATTGTCAAAAACATTTCAGGGAGAAAAACAATACAGTCTGTGTCCTTACATGAGATTGCAGCTTCATGTCCTCACTAGCTTACTAAGAAAAATAAAACTAGTTTCTAATCTGAAATCCATAATTTCTGAAGCTTGCATGCAACAATAAATACATTTGAATTCATTCTCTCCTAAAAACAAGAACATCTGTCTCTCTTTTTAAAAAAAGAGGTATTAAGAACTGATGCATTTTTCTACCCATATAGTAAGGAAAGCCATATTTTTTAAAGGTTCAACTCTTCAGGAGCTGAAAGCACACAGGAAAATGACAGGACAGGAGGGAGAGGGGCTGTGGCACACTCCACCTGGTTGTCATCCACTGCATATTTGAATTTTTTGGCAGATCCTTGAGCAAGAGCCAGTGAAGCCACATAGCCTACGAGAGCAACTCCAAAAGCTTCAGTGACTACGGCGGAGAGGATGTTCATCGGGGGGACTCTTGGTGGAGGGATTCTGTGAAGAGAAAGATCACACAGAAGATCGACCTTCATGTCATTTCTGTAGCAACTCACAATGAATTCAACTGTGATAATGACCCTAAAGTTTAGATCACATAAAATAGGTGACCTACCAGGAAGAAAAGCCAGCAGCCTTGCTTTGAGGAGCCTTCTGCTTTCAACATTATTTAGCAGAAAAGCAAAATTATAAGAAACACCCAGGGACAGCTCTACATTCTAACTGGCATTTACATTACAGAATTCAGGTTACACTGAAGAAACTCACTTTACAAAAATTTCCTTTATGGGAAACAAAAGCAAATCTGGAATGTTCTTTCATTCGAATATTTCCTAATATTTATTTGGTTGGCATTTGAGACCGCATTTCCTCCCTTGGATACTATATTACTGTATGCAAACATTACTGTACTTTGAACTAATCTCTGAATTTGCCATTGAGTTCATTATCTTAATTGCATTTTTGCAGTCTTTTCAGAGTACATTGAACAATAGCTTACATATGTTAAGAAAAATATGTAGAAAGCTTCCATCTCTCTCGCAACGTGTAAGACCACACTTACTTAGCTGTTTCTCTGTCTCAAAGAACTGTTTAAAATATTTCTCAAATAATGCTCAGCCATTGTCTTATTGTCTTTTGAAAACCACTTTAAGCCCAAAAATCATCATGTATGATTCTTTGGGAGATTTACCAAAATGAAAACCAAAAAATTCCCTCTGGCAAAAGTAGAAGAAAAAGAAAAGTACATTTATGTTGACTTCACATCTAGCATTAAGTAGAATGCTAGACCTTTCTTTCTAGCTATTTCATTTAATTCTCCCAAAATGCACCATTATAACCACTGTATGGAGAAGAAAACATCTTAAGAAAGATCAGGTAACTCATGTAAAATCACAAAGAGAATGGCTGGCTGATCTAGGATTCAGTCTCAGCTCCACTGTTTTCAAAGCCAGGCTCATTTTGTGATTCTTTATGAGGCTGGTTCCAGAACAATTACTCAAAATAAAGGAGAACTAGAGGGGATGGAGATGATTTTTAAACACACTATCATGGTCAACCTGTTGGCTCTGGGATCTGCCTGGAAGACTGGTCGACCACGCTTCTGAGTATATCATACAGTGTGCATCTGGCGAAAGCATAGAGATGTGAACTTGGGTACTACGAATGGTCCCTCACTCCTTCCTTTTAGGTGCTATTCTCCCTAGGCTTTGCTTCCTGTCATCCATGTCCTTCTACCATGATGTTTCTGCCTAGAGCCAGCTTACCATGGACTGAAAAAGAAGCAGCCCTTGGTAAGCTGTATGTTTAGTTTAATGTTGTTAAAAGCCAATACTTGGGGTTGGACAATAAAAATTTGGGGAATCCAACAACTGTTAACTTTGTTTTAAATTTATCTGCACAGTCTACACAGTCTATTAAAATGTATCTCCCTCCCTCCATAATTTGCCTTCATTTTCTTTCAGCTTCTGTTTGGAGTAACTTTTTTCCCTTCTAGGATGAGCACTTCCTCTTTTGTTTAAAGCTCTCTAGGGTCAGAGCAAGGCTGTGTGAAGGTGAGGAGCCAGGCCTTGTCCAAGCTATTGTCTCTCGAGCAATTAAGCACAGCCTGAGGGCTTGTTATTTCAGAGGTCTGTCTACCTTTATCCTGACTTAAGTAAAAGAATGTATTCATATGTGGGAGGACTAGAGGTGATTAAATCCAATACAATGTTTCTCATTTGAAAATTTAACGCCCTCAATTTTTTCAAAGGATATCTTTGTAAATATTGTCCAAATCTTTCATGTGAAGCAATACTATGTAAAACACTTATCAATTTACTTAGGAATAGGTGAATCCCCTATTACTGAGTTAGTCACATGGAGCTGTCCCTGGGAAATTACCATTTCTCTACCGATGTGGTATTTTTCAATCACTGTATAATAGAAATTAATTAAAATTTTGTCACATACAGGGACAGAAAGAAATACATACCCATCTACTCCCAGTCTCATTCTCCATTAAAAACAAACAAACAAACAAATAATACGTTAAAAAAGACTACTTTACCCTTTTGGAATATGACCAACTACTTCTAATCCATATGTGTTTTCCATATTGGTACAATAACAAGCAAATGATGCTGCAACGATCTGTGTAGTTCCATTTGAAAAAAGAGAAACAACTTATTATTGACCTTTCAAACATTTTAAAGCTATTTTAATAATTTACAATCTGAAATTTAGATAACATCAAGCAATGTGACTTTTCTAATGTTCTACGTTACATCAACCCAGTTTTATCCAGTTCTGAGGAAAACAAAATATGGAATATGGGGTTGGGAGAGTTGACCGTGTGCATAAAGACGCCAGTTTCCAATCCAAATACCTGTGTTTCATGACATGAAGGAATATTTCCTCAGACAGAAGTTTTCCCTTCATGACGATAGGCTCTTAAGAATTTGAGATAGTGCATCAGTGCTCCTAAACTATGTTACTAATTAGTGATGATTTACAGTCTCCTTGAATACTTCTGAATACGGGCTTTAACCATTTTTGAGGTGAAGCATCACAACCTGTTGAGCCCAGTACTTTTTACACAATGCTGTAGAGTCTCAGCTACTGTGTCATTCTGTTACTGATACACTAATCAAGATCGCAGCTTCGGGGGCTGGGGATTTAGCTCAGCGGCAAAGCGCCTGCCTGGCAAGCGCAAGGTCGTGAGTTCGGTTCCCGGTACCCGAGAAAAACCAAAAAAAAAAAAAAAAGATCGCAGCTTCTCGGCCTGTGCCCACAATCATCATTAAAATTCGTAACAGAGCCAGTTACTGATCTAACAGTAACAACAGCTTTCATTTTACAAGCCATACCGCCATTTTATTTTCCATCCATTTTCATATTTTCCTTTACTTCTTCTGATCATTTTAATAGTTACTAGAAATTTCATGTGATTATGGATTCAGTTTGGAATGGCTTATCTTGTTAAAAGACATAAACCAATTATTTAATTGAAGGGCAAATTTATTATATCCATGGCCAGAAAAAAAGAATAACAAAGTGAGACTAGCAAAATGAGAAGTTTTTCACAATAATGCCCAATAATATCATTTTGTAGATTTTTTTTCTGTCTGTGCATTTCTACTGATGTTTAATTGAATTTGTAGTATTTTCAGAGAATGGGCTTTAAAAGAAAAACATGCAAAAAAAAGAAAAACATCCTTTAGGATTCTGAAAATGAGAAAACACAACAAAACTGCCTAGGTTATACTGTTAAACTGTATAAATATTATGATATAATAACTATTTTCTAAGCCACTGAATTATTCTTTCAGATCATGTCTTACTTTTTCACCATATTTCTTTAACGTAATTAAATTTTCTTTATTAGTTGAGTCATTGGTCCCTCTCCATATTATTTCAGTATCATATATGTGTATAAAGCCTATACTATCCATAATCCTAGCATTCTGCACCAGGTGGGCCTGGATCTGTACATGTAGTCCTTCCCCTAAGATGGGAGCTTTGCGGGGTAGGAGGATGCGCCAAACTCAAATTTGTTCCAATCTTGCTGATCCTGACTACACAAGAATCTATCATTTCTGCCCAAGTGGCCCCCAGCCTGCTTGTAAGGCATCTTCCCGATGTCCCAAGGAAGGCCAAGGGAGAACTGTGGGGGTGGAGTGGGGCTATGTTTAGAGTCTAGACCTGGGACAGGGATATACACATGTAGAAATGTGACTCTCTTTATGAGTGTGTGTGATAGTTCTTAATTGTCCACTGATTAGACTGGAGCTTCTTGCAGATTAGTAAAGAACACCCCTGGGTATGTCTGAGTGGGTGAAAGAGTGACCTTGAGATCTATACCTTATGCCTGTCCTTTTCCTCTCTGGCATGGTTACCCTGCTCTGCTTCACAGCAGAGCAAACCTCAGCAAAACTGAGCACATTTGCTCCACTACATCCTTCTGCCATAATGTTCTCGCCTCAGGGCCCGCTGACCATGGCCTGAATCCTCTGCAACCATGAGCCAAATTTAACTTCTGCTTCTTTAAACTGCAGGTGCTTTAAATTTTGTCCAGTATCAGGAGAGGTGACCAACACAGTGGGACAGAGCTGGAATGAGAAGGGAAGGAACAAGCCTAGAGGTTTGCTCCCCTCATTCTGGCAGAACTCAAAGGATTCGGAGACTTCTTTACCTAACCTGACCTTCCAGGTCATCACTTAGGTACAACGGTTAATGTAGAAAACCAGGAGCTGTTTTATTTAATATTTTGTCTATAACTTTTAAGTATTTGGCTTTGTATTGGTGGTTTTTGCCTGGCCAATGCAATTGTGACACTGTATAAAGAATACTTTTTATGTTAACAATAATTCCTACTCATTTTGCAGAGAATCACAACTGCTTTATTAATTGCATAAAGGCCTTTCTCCCTAAATTTTCTTTCAATGTTTGGTTTTATGAAACTTATATAACTTCTCTTTAAAATAAGATAGTATACCTCAGAGTTGTTATGATGAAAACTAATACCTATATTACTCTTTGCTTTTATAACACATTTGAAATACTTACAGAGACTACCTACATATGTTATATGTATCTTCACCAACTGTCAGGAAAATACCATCATGCATTGGCTAGCCACAGAGAGAGGTCTTCTATATTAGATCTAAATAAATGTGTCATATTTTTCAATGTTTCACCCTTAATAAATGTACACAGACCTGCACTATTTAACAGTATAAAGGATATTTAATAGATGAAATTACTTAGACACTTTGTACTATACATATATAACAAAATTATTTAAAAACTAGAGCAAATTAATGATGAATGAGTATACTATGGCTGTACTACCAATTCATTCTCATTTGAATACTTTAAGAGTTCCTATAAAGGCTCCTAAAATTTCAAAACAGAGATTTTAGTACAATAAGCCTTAGGATCAAGGTATAATACATTCATATTCCAAATGCAACAAAAAATATTTTAAAGAGCACCTCTAACCAATGAAATAACAAGCTTCCCTTCATTAAGGCAAAATTAGATCAATAATGAAAGTATGAACAAAGTTATCTATCATCCATGGACATTTTCCAATTGATGATATTTCTGTGACTGTCAAAGAGGTGTCATATCAACGGGATGTATTAGTGCATTTTATTGCTTCATGTAGTATCATGCCAGAGATCTTTTAAGTCTCAACTTTAGAAATGTGTCCTTAAAAGATCTTAGGCTTTATATTTTCTTATTTATATAAAAAATTAAAAGCATATGAGAAATGCTACAGAAATTGAAAACACATGTACCTCCTTTTGTAAATTATTGACTCAAAATGTTTCCTGTTCTTACATTAATGTATAGCCACGCAAATTAGCCCTTCTTTAATGAGACACAGGAGTAGAAGTGGGTTACTGTAGACACTACAGTTAGCATCTGTGCATTACCCCAACTGGCAGACTCAGTGCAGCAGAAAGCTACATGTTGATTTCATACTTACCAAAACTAAATCGACAGGAAGAACAACTTTAATTTTCCTTTTAAACTGTTCATTCAACTCTTTAACAAGAACAAGGACTACGATGCTCAGCAAGGATAAGAGCAGTGCTTCCAGCTGGACAGACTTGATGTTTTCAAAGACATATGCATAAATCTACAGGAATGAGAAAGAGCATCAACAAAATTCAGGGGCATCTGCAACACACCAGCATGGAAATCTGACCCCAGATAAACTCAAAGATCTTTCATAAAGATGCCGCAGTGACTGCATGGAAGGAAAGGGGTGATTAGTGCTGAAATACAGCAAAGCTACATACAAGGTGTGATTGAAATACATGGTGAATTTTAAACTTCTAAAACGTATTATACTAAAAGCCATTAACCCCCTTAAGATACTAACTTTGAACACACTTATCCCACTATTCTCGAAACTCAGGACCTTGCAATTGTCAAGCAGGTGCTGTACCACTGAGCTATATCCTAAGCCTCTCAAAACTTTTTGAAGCAGTTCTGGAAGTCTTCTTTCGTGAGTGTCTGAATGGGGTGTGATCAAAATATGCTGCTTCAAAGTGACGTTCAAGGAAAAGCCAAACTCATAAAAGCATTATGATGTGTCCTCATCCACTTCATTCAGTGAATCTGGCACTATACAACCTCTGGCTCTTCCCCAAAGTCAAGATGATCATGAAAGGTAACAGTTTTAAATTGATTCAGGACATTGAGGCAGCCACATCACAACTAAAGAGTCTCACAAATGAGAACTTCCAGAACTGTTTCAGAAAGGGGCAGGGAAAATAGAATATGTGTATTCAAGGAAAGGGGAAGTATTTTGAGGAGGATTGATGGCAGTGCATCTTTTCCTGTAGTCATTTTTTAAAATTTGAACATTTCCCTCTTTTCTGTCACACCCTCTATTGATTTGCATGTTCAAAATTCTCCAATAAAAAATAAGATTTGTGCCTTCCTACACAAGGACACTACTAAAATGGATGACTCTCTGGCTATTTCCCTGGAACTGAAGGGCAGAGATGCTATAATTCACTTGGTTACATGGAGATTCATCATTCAGAGCCGAGAGGGGGCTACAGACTCCCCACCTTTGACCCTAGCATATTTCAAACACCAGAACCACACACCCTTAGAAGGCACAAAGAAGTTAAGAACTGTTATTTAATTGACATCATATATTTGGCTTAACGTAAAATATCACCATATTATTCGTTACGCAGCACTTTTGGCTTTTTGCCACATGTTCTGCCAGTGCTAGGTCTATCATGGTGAGCAACTTAGATACGGCCTGCCTCAGTATTCATGGAGTCATAGTCTAGTATAGTAATTGCTGATTAAAAGCAATAAATTAGTACAGTAGGGTGCTACAGATGTGGGAGGGACTTCTGGGGTATATTACTTGGAAGTATGAATGGCCAGGGACGCCCTTGCCAAACAAGATACACAGATATTGTCAAGAGTATAGGTGGAAAGAAATTGAAGGTGAAAATGTTTTGTTTTAAGGTCACACTTTTAAAACTTAGAGTATTTAATATGCTGAGAGGAGTGTATGACTTCCAAAAGTACACTCACAAAACCAGTACAATGGTTTACTTTTAAAAGCAAGCAGTCCTATTTCAAACTCTGTTACCCTGAAGAATTCGCTTACAGCTAGTAAGAAGGTATGCATTAATATCAGACATTTTATGGTAACTTGGGGTAGTCTGACTTGGCAGAAAAGTAGAATAAATTTAAGAGTAATATCAAAGAAAAGAATAAAATTAAAGTCCTTTGTAAAACTGAAAGCTTATGTTTAAACAACTAAGTGCCAATAATGTTTTGCTTAACTATGCAGAGTCATGGAGACAATTAAGCATCTCATCTCCTGGCATAAAAAATGATAGGACAAGATTTTAAAGAATTTTAAATTGAGCACTAATCACCTAAGTCCAATCCTAGATCTATATGAACATTTAATGTAAAGAAAACTAATTTGAATTATGTTATTTGGAATACTAATACAATGATTCAAAAATACATGTAAAATATTAAATGCATAATAACAAATAAGATAATTTTTAAATAAAAATATTTATACATTTATACAAAAACATAAATACATTGTATAATAAATTAAAATGTGTAACTGTATTAATATGTATAAAGAAAAGAAGAAAAATATGGATCCCAGAAACATGTAACACTTGCATTACAGAAACGATTATCCACTATACCGTGTTGGAACCAAATTATGAAAAATAAAATAAAACTTCTAGGTAAAAGGCTTAAATGTAAAAAATTGAGGTCATAGAAAGTTAGTTTAAAATGGACAGAAGACAGACAATTAACAAAAGAAATAGAAATGATGAATACACTTATGAACAAAGATCTCAACCACAGTAGTAATCAAAGAAAAACAATTACAAACACCAAGGCATATTTTATCAAAGTATTGATTTTTAGGTGGTAATGCTCAATGTTAGTGAAATTTGGAGGCAGAGATGTGAACTTTTCTATACTACTCGTATGAATTTAAGTAGTTACAGTATTTTAGCAATCAGATAAAGCTTACTCCACGCTGTTGAAATAGTCTCTTTGCTTCGGCAGTTTCACTTCAAGAAAAGCAAGCTATGAACGTAATTAGGCTCACACAAAATATCTTATTATAAGGATATTCATTGAAGCAATGTTTAAAATAGCAGAAAAAGAAATTAAAACCATTTATAGAAGTAGACCTAAGGGGAATTAATTCAATTTACTTTTTATATAAGCACATGGAATAATAGTGTGCTCCCTAAACATTGTTTTAGACAAAATTTGTTTTTGTTATGGAAAAGCTTTTCCTACCATGGTTATAAATAGAAAGGCAACTTGAAAATAAATATGTGTGGCTTGACTTTCATGGGCTGAAAAGTATGCCTCCCTAAATTCGTACACTGAGGTCCCCCAGTAGCCCAGAATGTGACTTCTTCAATGTAGTACTGTACTTTTAAAGATGTAAAATGTAGTCATACAAGTGATCCTTAATTCAAGATGACTGGTGTACTTTTAAGAAAAGATTAGGACACACATAGAAAATGTACAGGGAAAAAATGTGTGAGAACACAACAAAAAAGCAGTAACTTACAGGAAAACAAGAAATCAAACCTCCTAACACCTTGACTTTGACCTTGCAACCTCTAGAAATACAAGAAATATTTTTGTTGTTATTTAAGTCACCTAATCTGTGCCTCTTGTTATGGGAAGCCTAGTAAACTAATAACATATTTTATAAGATAAAATGTATGCCAAGATATCTACAGATAGGTCTAGAATACTGGTAGCTCTGCATAAAATGTTTGTTCTTATCTATATCTTCTATCTTATGAGGAAATATCACTTGCATAACTTTAAAAGTTTTAATTGAGTATTAAATACTCATCTTCAACATATCTTTTTACCGATTGTACCTGGGTTTTATCATTTCATTTTTATTTGTCCACAGAAGAGTTCTCAAGTCTTGTTTCCTGTGATAAAAATTAGTTTTGATTTTACCACATGGGTTATTCTTCTAAGAGTCTAACTTGGTGTTCTTTGCCCTATTTAGCATCTCAAATATAATGTGACCACAACCCAAAATATTACATGGACTATGGTTAAAAACAATGTACACAGATCATATTCATTGGCATCTCTTACAATGCTGCTTATTGATTTTTCTAATCACGGGACTTAGCTCAGCTTGTCTAAAGATCAGGAGTGTATCTGGTCTAAAGGGAGACATTCAGGTTATCCAAGCTTGAATTCTATATATTAAACATGATCATTAACATTCTAAAAGTCTCAAAGAAAATGTGCTCTGTCTATTAAAAGTAGAGCCTCACTGTGTGAAAGAGACGAGAGTAATGAATGACAGGTAATCCAAATGCCACTTGTCTATATGAGTAAAGAACAATAGCAAGCTACCAGTTGTATAAAGAAATACATTAGAGATCAGATAGTCTTACTTATTTTTCTTTGAAGTAGTCTCCTTTATTTCATACTATTTAGAAAGAAAATTAGGTACTACAATATCATAGTTATCTGAGATGCAGATAACACTTTTCCTGTCTATGTTCTGGATGGAAATTGTTCCCAGCATTCCTATAAGTGACAGAACACGGTCTATTTCTATAATTACTCACAACTCAAAGCCCAGAATAAAAATACAAAATTCAGGGCAAGTGATATAGCTGAGCGTCACAGTGCCTGACTGGCAAATACAAGGTCCTGAGTTCGATTTCTGGTACCAAAAAAACAAAAACAAAAACAAAATTCTACTTGGTGAAATACATTCCATAGGGGATATGAAAAGGGGGAATGTCAAAATAATTTTGTCAAAATGCCTAACTTTCTGATGCTTATCATGATCTGAGGATGGAATTAGAATTATTCAGATGATGTGTCAGGAAAAGGCCAACTATCCAAATGTTTTAAAGCACTTAAAAATTATTCTTAGGGGCTGGGGATTTAGCTCAGCGGCAAAAGCGCCTGCCTGGCAAGCGCATGGTCGTGAGTTCGGTTCCCGGTACCGGAGAAAAACCAAAAAAAAAAAAAAAAAAAAAAAAAAAAAAAAAAAAAATTTAAAAAAAAAAATAAAAGAAAAAAAAAAAAAAAAAAAAAAAAAAAAAAAAAAAAAAAAAAATTATTCTTATGCTTTTTTCCGTGGTATTGAAAGTATGCCGTGGCAGTGCCTACACAGGAAAGAAGAGAAATATGCAAGACTCCCAAGCCATACCAAATTTACCGTAATGGGCATTTAGAGAACATGTGTTTGTGGTAAGAGAAATGACCACCCCAGAATGAAAGGAATGAGAAAGCCCTAGGGCTTTATTGTCTGTCCGGATTAAACTATAGCTCATCAAGCAAAGCACATTGTTCAGAAAGATCCAAAAGAACGTGGAGGGAGTGGTGTGCAGAGACTCATTCCAACCAGCCTGAAGAGCACAACAGGAAAGCAGGCCGGCGAGGATTGTCCTTCTGATGACTCGTGCGGACAAGCAGACAGCAGTCACAAGCTAAACGGGCTCATAGGATATGAGTGGCACGTGGAGACAGAGCTGGGACGGGGACAAGAGCACACACACACACACACACACACGCATACCACTTACTAGAGGTTTAGGCATCCTAAGCACAAATTAAACT